GCCCAAGAATAAGAGCCCTATGTAATAAGTTAGTTAGAGCATTTGTAATGGTCTATAAATAGACAGTACGAGTAGAGAGAAGGGAGATTTTTTGGGGGGGGAGTTTTCATTCTGTGGAAGTGTAAGAATTCTAGAGAGAGAAAGGTAATTGAATTTCTTGCATCTTCATAATATTATTCTTATTTATATAAATTTAAGAGTAATGATATTCAAGTTCACTTGTTAGATATATTTGTCAAAGTGAAACAATTAAACACCATTGATAATCCAAAATACTTTAGGTCTTTAGTGGCCTTAATTATTTCATTTCGACAAATAAACCTAACAAATAGGTCTGAATATCATTTTCTCAAATTTAATCGGATGTGTTCAAGCCTTGAATTCTGTATCACTAAGGCTAATGAACACCCGTTTGGCATGCGTTTTGTTTCTGTTGTTTTTGTTTTGGGGCTACTACAATGTCGATTTTGGTAACGAAAGCATATTTGGTATGACCTTATTTTATTTTACACGGTGCTAAAACACTTCATGAACAATGGCACAAAACCAAAACACTAGAAAATTATTTTTTCTTGTCTTGACAACTGTTCATAGCTCAAAACCATAACAGTAGCGCAACACGGGACCTAAGTTTCCACAGCAAAACATCGTTCCCAAATGTGTTTTTAATTTTTTTCTAAAACACTCCTACAGTAAAAATACTATTTATGTTTTAATCAAAAATAAAATGTCTAAAACAATGCACGTTCCAAACGAATCAAAAAAATATTCAAACCTGTTCAAAATTTTGTCCAAAGTCATTGGAGGCTCAAGTCACATGCAAATTGGAATGTATGGTCTACCACCATTTATAAGTTGCCAAACTTTAGAAGCAACAATTTGGTCGGAGTGTTTGCGAAGACGGGGAAAGTCAAGAATTAAAAGATGTTAGGTGAGAATATAAAGAATCTTGTGAAATTTCCAAGATACTGGCCATGGCATGTCCTGGTCAGTTAAGGCATTAAAGTCAAATTTGGTCATATAATGGAAAAAAAGAGTCAAATTTTAATCAAAATTGCATTTTGATTACTGAACTTATATATTCATATTGTCACGTGTGACATTTGCTAAGATAATTAATTAATTAAATTAGAATATAGGCAATGACCAATTAGGTTTGAGTTGATTGGTTGTAGTATTATTAGTTAAGTGCTATGAGGGAAGTCTTGTCATTCCGATTGAAAAGTGATTTGAGTATGTATAGGACTCTTTTTTTTTATTTTTTATTTTTTATAACAATATATATAGATTGTATAGATTGGGTGTTAGCAATTAAGTCACGTGGGATTCCGGGAGCAAATTTGAGAGCAAAAATGAGGTATGATAAATAGAATTAACTTAAATTTTTGGATCAAACTGCGAATCACCCGACCTGACCTGATTTGTAACTCAAATGGAATGAGGAGTTTTTAGTTAAGATGAGAACTTAAGCAAAACCTACTTAATTTTTTTGACAAAAAAAAAACAAAATGTTGTTTTCAAAAACCATTATTTGAAAGCATGTCTATTTTAACTGTATTTTCAGAGAATTGTCAACAAAATAAAATTTTGTATTGTTTTCTAATTCTGTTCTTTAAACAAAAAAACTATTTTAATAATAATAATAATAATAATAATAATACTTGAATAATAAAAAAGCAAAAATGCAAAAAACTCTCCTAAACTATTACGAATCCGCATTTTACCTCCTTAAACCACAAAAATGAACAAATTAGTACCACAACTATCACAAATCGTGCAAATTAACCCCCTGAAACTCAATTCCGGCCACTTTCTGGCCCACAAGGCCAGCACGTGACTGTTTTTTTCTTTTAATTCCGAAATTACCCTTGAATACTAATGAATATTATTATTTATTTATTCATTTTAACTTTTCTGCCACGTAATGAGGTAAACATAGAGAAGCTCACAGCCGAGTTCTCCTTCCCGCCGGTACCGCGAACCTTCACAGCCCCGTTCTATAACTTCCCTTCGTCCGTCCACGAGGCTTCTTTGATTAGTCAATTCCTCCTTCCTTTCCCCTTAATTTTGTGATCTATCAACAGAAAAAAGAAGAAGAAAGAGAGCACAAAAACACCAAACATACTAGCAAAATTCGATGACTCCAAAACCGGTGGAGCATTTAGATCGATAGGTGGTTGACCACCAGTTTTGCAATCACACACACACACACACACACACACACACACACACACACACACATATATATATATATATATATATTTACATATATTTATATTGATGAAAAAAAGTAACAGTAGCCACACACACTCACACACACACACACACACACACACATATATATATATATATATATACTTACATATATTTATATTGATAAAAAAACTACCGGTTTTAATCCAATCATATCAGAGGCGGCTGGTGCAGCGATGGTGATGGCGGCATGGGCTGCCATGGGCTGTGGAGAGGACTGGTTCGGCCTGTTGGTGTAGCGATGGCGATGGCGGCATGGGCCGGCGATGGGCTATGGAGAGGTCGGAATATATGTCAATATATATATGTGTGTGTGTGTGTGTGGCTACTGTTACTGCTCAGGCAACCTCGCTGCTTCAGCGCCGCCATTAAAGCATGGATGGGGGTTCCATGGCGGAGATGGTGGTTTAGGTGAAGAATTGGGAAAGATCGAATACAAGCTTGTCGGAGGATCACACATTCTATAAATAAATCAATGTTTTGTTCAACGGCGGAGGACTAACCAGGCAATCAGTGTTTTTTTCATCCCCACCCACCGCCTTTCCGACTGCACCACCCGATCTTTTTCGGTGGCTTTCCAGTAATCGACTTTGGTTGCCCGGTTAGTCCTCGACCCGTTTGGGTATTTCCTATCCGTTGGGTTGTAGAAGTACCATTCCATATCTTTGCCAGGTAAATATGACTTGTCTATACATGCACATCACCAAATCAAATATATATATCAGATTTCAACTCAATTTAATTTAGAGTCAATCAAATTATATATATATATATATATATATATATATATATATATATTCAAGTAAATTTGTAAGTACGTAGCTGGTAAATCCTAGGGCTCACATTTGTAGAGATCAACCTCTGGGATGATTTCAAGCTCGATCACACGGCCTGTTATTTTCCTATTTAGATAGTAATCAACAAGTTCCTCGTCAGTTGGGTAGAACCTGAATCCTTGGGGAAGACTCATTTGTGCCATTTATCTAGCACCGATGTATATGCAAGTGTGTGTGTGTGTGTGTGTGAGAGAGAGAGAGAGATTTGAATGAGAGAGAGAAGAATAGAAGATGATGGAGATGGACTTGAGAACAGAGGGGCATTGAGGGTATTTTTTTTAATTACAATGGGTAGTTTTGTAAATTTACAATGAAGTCGGCCGGAAAGTAGCCGGAATTGCGTTTCAGTAGTTAATTTGCACGATTTTGATAGTTGTGATATTGACTTGTTCGTTTTTGTAGTTCAAGGGGATAAAATGCGAATTCGTGATAGTTCAGGGGGTTTTTTTTTGCATTTTTGCTTAATAAAAATGATAACAATAGTAAAAAAGGTAGAGTTTGAGTTTGGATTGAACTGTCCAAGTTACCATCTATATCAATTTACTTTCAATGTAGAAATTATTGAAAATGATGATAAATGAAAATTTACATTGTACTAACCAGTTCAATTTTATTGAATATCTAGTTTTGTTTTTATCGTAAAACAACAATCACATGAAATATGCTTGTTACTTATGCTTACTGATTTGGACCTGGTTACGATCACTCGACAACAATGGTTGATTTCTTGGATATGATCGTCTTTTTGCTCTATCAACGAAACTTTTGGTATAATCACACGAAAATCGAGTCTAAAATGTTTTGTTTTTATTATCTATCTTCGATTATAAAATTACTGAATAGAACTTCCCTTTTCTTTATTTGTACTTTATGTGTTGGACATGACAAAGAAACAGACTAATCCAAGGACGTGACAAAGATACAAGTTGAAAGAGTGACACGTCACACACACACACACACACACATATATATAATATGTTATCTATCCATTAAAACAATAGTGATAATGTGATATCTCTATCTAGGCATATTACATTATAATTTGTTGAGATGCTACTCCATGAGCTGTGCTGCTAGCCAATCCAAGAACATACCTGTATGACTTGGAGATTTGAAAGCGAAAGTTTTTGTTTTCAAAATTTTATATTATTTAAAATTATATTAGAATCAGATTAATTACTAAACTATTACCGTATTTAGGGCCTTGTGAGTTGTGACCCAGTAATATCTTCTTTACCTCTCAAAATGAATGGTAAGTTTTCTAGTCTATAAAGAAGCAAAGTAAATGAGTGAGTTTCTAGTCAATAAAAATAAAATAAAAAAACTATTACCGTGTTTTAAAAGTGTTCCAATTCCCAAATGGGTTGTTGTGGTGTCCATGTAGTTCCAGCCATATACAATTAGCATATATATAATATTCAAATTTTTACAGAACACTTTGAACCATGTTAGACATGTGTTTAAGCCATGTTCAATAGTATTACAACACGTGATTTCTAACCATGTTAGACACGTGCTTAAGCCGTGGTCAATAAAATTACGACACGTGTCTACGTCGTGTTAACTAACACTACGACACTCTTCAGAAAAGTATTTGTGCTATCACCCACATGAGCTAGGTTAGCTTAAAAATATGTCAAATCTTTATGACAAAATTCAGTATGTAGTTTTGCTGCTGAGTTCTTGGTACATAGTAAATATATTACCTTGCTTTTTGCAAAATTTCTCATTTTCTTGAACAATGATAATTTCATATTTTCCATAATCATGGGTTGGAAATATAAGCTTCTAGTCAGAATTACTTCCTCAGAGTCCATCCCACTCACTCTTCAAGGGGAAAGGCAACAGTCGTTTTCTGCTCGAAATAAAACCGGAAAAACGAGAACAAGAAAGAAACTAACAGAGATCAAGTGGAATGGAATGGGAAGAACCTTTACATTACTTAGAAAGAGTTCACAATACATGCTCCAGTTCCAGAAAAAGAAAAGGTCAGTCATTTTGGGTGTATTGTGACCCATCAGAGGTCAGCAGTGCCGGGGAAACTCCGTCACTTGGAAAATCATCCCTCCATTGTTGAGCCCCAAGTGATACTCCGTCGCTAATTGGGAAATCCCGCCATTGTTGAGTCCCCAGAGACATTCCATCATTACATTGAAAATCCTTCCATTGTTGAGTCACTGTTTTGGTCTGGGTGTAAAAATGAAATCCAGCTTTGCCTGCAATTCACAACACCTCAAGTTCAACACCCGGGAAATTTACCATGTCCAGTACACTTGATGTGACCGCTTTTAGAGCAGTCACAAAGTAAGAAGCATGCTCACAGAGTTGGTATGTTTACCATAGAAACTGAGATCTCCTCCAAAAGATGCCCTGGAGCCAGTAAAAGAGAAAAAGGGCAGCGGGGTTGGAATAGGAACGTTTATGCCGACCTGCAAAACTCAATTCCAGTCGGAGATTTTATATAGAGTTTCTATATAACATACAGCAAACCTTTGCTGCCGTAAAATGATTGATTAATATATCAAAACACAAATGTGGGCAAGTATTTTGATTTTTGAACTAATTAAGGCTCTGTTTGGCAACCGCTTTTACTTTGCGCTTTTGTTTTCACCCAAAACAGAAGAAACATTTTTGCTTTGGAGCGTATTCAATCATAATCAAAAGCATGTTTGGTGACTTTATATTTGTTGCAAGATTTTGGAAGCAAAAATGTTGCAAGTTTGAAAAATAATATGGCAAGTTAAAAAGGTCATTTAAGAGTTTTTTTTTTTTTTTTTTTTGGTATTGTTCACCGCTACAGTGTTTTTGCTACAGTGCGGAAGCAACCGGAAACACCAATTTGGTGCTTCCGGTTTTGGCCTCTTTTTCGGAAACATTTCAGTAGTATTCAAATCGCAGCAAACATTACCAAACACGCTTCCGTGTTTTGCTTCACTATAGTGCACTATCCGAAGCAAAAAAACACGAAGCAGAAGTGGTTGCCAAACAGAGCATAAACTTGGATCAAATGTCTATCCGGAAATGGTAAAAATTCAGTCCAAAACCCCTCACATTTAACAAACATATTTCAAGTACTTTTGGGTTTAAGATAACTATGAAAGATCAGTTCTTTACTTCTTTTGTATTTTAAACCAGCTGCGGGACTAACAACGGATTCTTACCTGCCCAGACTCAATCTCAGTTTGGAATTTCCTTGCGGCTGCACCAGATGTTGTAAATATAGAAGCTCCACTGCCACATCTGCTCCACAAGAGCAACTTAGATATAAAGCAAAACACAATCCTTCAAGAGATCCAAGAGAAATTAAATGTGAGATGTACTTATTTCTATTGACGATGTTTATGGCCTCATCTAAGCTGTCAGCCTGATCATAAGAAGGCAATGAGGATAATATGTTAACACATCTCCATGATTAGAAAACAACCTTGATTCTATGAGAAACAATATAAATAGGCCACCTGCATGCAAAGAAGAACTGGGCCAAAAAATTCCTCCTGTATAGACCAAGATAAGCGTATTCAATATTCAGGTTTCATCTATGGATTTCACAAAAATTCCAAGGTCAAAGATACCTTATAACCCTCCATATCATCTGAAACGTCAGACAAGATGGTGGGACCAACAAAGTTGCCCAGTTCATATCTTGGTACCTATTTATCATTCAACATGTATATTATATATGTATTATCCATAGTAAGTTAAAACAGATGAGCATGAATACTTGACAGAAATATGAAAATCAATCAACCTAGACAGGTTATTACAACCTTCTCAAAAAAACTACCAAACCACCAAAAATACCATATGATGTAGCAGTTAGATTCAAGGAAAAAACTATACGCTGATAATTCTCTCATACTATTCATTATTAATATTTACATATACGCCCAACATTGATTCGCTTCAGTGTCACAAGGTTTATCTACATCACTATATTCATCTAGTCAACTAACCAGGCAAAAGAGAATCTCACAAGGATGAGGTTTTCATACTATAGCTATGTTACACACAAGTCCATCTATAGGGTGCGGGTATGCATCTAAGTGCCAGATGTCCCGAATTTCCAAAACGAAGGACATAGGGACACAGCTAATATTCAAATTATTTAATATTTTTCTTTAATTTTTATAGTAAAAAAATGTTTTATTTAAGATTGTGTTCAGCATAGCTACTTCACTCATTTTGAAGCAATAATGTAACATTTGAATTATCCAGTGTTGTGTGTCCAACATGGGTACTTCAAGCATATTTTTTAGGACTCCATGTAACATAGTAGTTAGTATGTTTGGCAGACAGGATGTATGGGGCGGATTGGCATCCCATTCTAATATCCTGTTATTCTATTGTTAGGGACCCATTATTGAGGAAAAGCACATTTTAAGAACAGCATTCTCCAAAATGCCTGTGGAACGCATGCATGTAGAAATCGAAGTATAAGCAAGAGAGAGAGATCCTGGCATCTACAACAACCTCAGGTGCACCATGCACCAGCCAATGACCACATCTGCTGCAGATATTCCAATTTTAACATTATATGGATTCTGACTATTCAGATTATAACTCCGCCCTTTATTTTTCACCCAAACATCAAAGTTGGAATCGACCCTTCCTAGATCTTGAATTCAGTTACAAATTTCATTCCCCATTTCAATCACGGGCATCCAAACATGGCTTGGAGGTGAAAATTGAAACAGAAAGTAAAGAAGCAACATGTTCATCTCCATAATTACACCATAATACTTATTTTTCTGACAACTAATAATAAGACTTCCCCCATGTGATATAATCTGCTTTACCACTCAACCACTAGTTTGTCCAGCAACTTAAAAGAGGAACAGATGATCAGTGAACGCTACAACCATGTTACCAATTTAAGAGGAAATCCAAGTATCAAGTTAAGTAGATATTGGTCTGGTTAGTGGAACCCAGATTCCCAATCAAGAACCAGGTTTCTTAAGTTGGAGGAGATGCACAATGCACAAAATCTGATACAAAAAGCATGCAATTTTCTAATTGAGGGATTAGCATATAGAAAGGTCTAAAAAGTACAGTAAAGAAGTAGCAGTAATGGCATAAAAATATATTCATTTAGCCTAACCCCTACCTTCCCCCAGCCACCCCTACCTCCCCACCTACCCATATATATAAATAAATAAAAACAAAAAAAGAAAGTCATGGATTTTATCATATGAGAATCTGGTACTATCAGATTAATGCTTCACAGTCACACTTGAGTCAATGACAGTGCAATCATAGTCATATTTCATACTAAAGACAGATTACAGACATAATTCTTCACAACTAAAAAAGTTTAACTGGATTTCACTATAGTAATAGCATAATGCAAAGCAACTTTTATAAATGTAATAAAGTACGATAAGAAGGCTCTAATATTATCAGAAAGAAAAAACACAAAAAATGAAAATAAATGATAGGAACATATACCACAATGCTTCTGCCATCAAGCACTAGTCTAGCACCACTATCAACACTACGCTGGATCAACTTGCATATCCGTTCCTTTTCCTGTGGACATCACGAAATGTACAAGTAATAAAAGATTATTCAAATTAGAAACAAATTTTAACCATGTATGCACCTGTTTGCTTATCACCGGACCAAGGTCTGCACCAGGTTCAGTTCCAGCATCTACTTTAAGTGCTTTGGCACGCTCCACTAGTTTATCTTCCCTGAAAAAGGCCATAACAGACCCTCATGTTACTCCAATTCATCTAGCGTCCACCGTGAAACTAAATTACAAAGAAGCACCACAATTAATTCACCTAACTTAGTAAGCAAAAGGGGAAAGAGGGGGAGGCGGGGGGTAGGTAAGTAAAATTTCTGAGACACAGAACATTAAAATAAAATGCCTAAGAAACTTAAATTATGTATTACCATAATCCTCATTTTAAATTCCTCGTTTAGATGACTAATGCTCCAACAAATGGAACATATCATTTCTCAAGAAGCAGATATTCATTTTGAACCCATTTGATTTTACAGAAAAAGAGAGTTATACTTTGCAAGAATATTGCTCTACACAAGTGTGAGAATGCAACTTCAACTATGATATGAGAGCAGCCACTTTGTGCAAAATAATGTGAAAGCCTCCAAAAGTAGAGACCATGGGTAGATTTGGGGAAATACTGGAAGATTGAACAAATGGAAGAAACACTAGCCTCAAAAAAGGAGTTGGATAATAAAGTAGGTGAAATGCAAATATCAGAAATGACATTGAGACTGAAATATACAGTAGTAAAACTTCAAAAACCTGGAAAGAAAAGGGAAGATTAGTTGGAGAAATAAGGCTCAAAAAAACTGGTTGAGGGAAGAAAAAAACAATGCAAAATTTCTACCAAATGGATAATGCTAGAACTGTTAATTTAATAAATAAACTAAGTATGGACATACTATTATTGGAGACAATAACAATATTAGATGTGACAAGGAACATTGTAAATAACTAACAAGTAACACCACAATTCTTTTCACAAGTGAAATCATTAGATGTCACCTAAGAAGGTGCACCCATGTACATAAACTTCACACAAACTATACTCTGTCTCTCAAAAACCCTACAAAAAATCAATAAAATAAATAAATAAATAAAAAGCCTAAATAGCTCAAATAAAATATTCCACCACTCAAACGATCTCTAATTCCTTGCTGCATATACTCTATCGAAGACAACGGAGCTGCATGCCAAACCATAAGCAAGAGTGTTCCTACATACTCCATTACCAAACAATGTAGCACCAACCATTCATCGTCTCTTCACCCCTTCTTACACATGCAACACATTTCATCATGACAACCGATATGCTTTGATACCAATTGTTGAGTGCACAATCGAAAGGCTCAGTGGTGAAAAACCACAGGACCTAGTCCAGGCAGCTCAAATCCACAATGAGAAAGAGATATTACAACTAGGTTAACAGTTCCTAACCCTCAGAACCCCTAGTTACCTCTTGACACAGACTGGTCCACTAAACTCTCCACTCGAGTCTCCAGGCACATGATCTAATCTCCAATGACTAATCGTCCAGGATGCGTGTTTGTTGTGTAGAGACACATTGGCGTTGATAACGATATAAGCTCCACAAGATGATCGACACTCTGAATAATAACTCAACATATATGCAACGTGCTAGATGATGAAAACAAAAATGTACTCTATATGATCTCTCAATAATGTGTGTAGAGATCTCTATGAATGTTCGGTCTGTTGTGAGAGCCTAAATGTGATTATATAGTGTTTTGAGTCCAAAGGAATTAGGGTTTCTTAATTGTAACTTGTAATCAGAACAGGAAAACCTAAACCTTCTAGGCTTATGATCTAGAGTGTTTCCAAAAATTGTTCACACATAGTTTTATCAATGGACAACTACTAGACAAGGTTAGATCTATCGATAACCTCAGTATCTCAGACTCTTGATTGACTCTATCTTCGACCAATCGACCTTCTTTCAATCAATTTTCTCTGGACTTCAGTCACTTCACTGGTTCAATGTTTTGTGGAATATTCTTATTTAGATATACTTATACCAAAAACAACTTTATGCATTTTAAACATATTTTTCACAAATCAAAACATGTCTGAAGGTTCCCCAAAATGAGTCATTTTATAAGAATTCATGATTATGAACCCTAATGGGTGAGATAATTATTCAAGAGGTGGTTTTACCTTTTCACCTCACCCTTTGATGTATCTTCAAATTCTAATTTTACTCTTGGATATAGGTACCACCACTTATTAACTATACTAAAATTTGAAACTCTAACCAAAAGCTAAAAATAAAATATATAAACACCGGCATTTGTTAGGAAATTTTTGCCAACACTAAGTTCTAATTCTAATACTCTCCAAAAGATTTTTAATGGTTAAGATTTTTCGAAATACTACCAGCTAAGCATGAATAGCCACTTTGGTGCCAAATGCCTTTTCAAGGAACCCCTTCTTGCTGACTCCTTGAAACACCCAGGAGTACAATATCACCTCAAATAAGCTCCCCTGCACCTAATCTACTCCTAGCACCCTGATCAACCTGAATAATGAACTGATCATATAAAATGTCATAGAAAGCCACCACCTCATCCAACTCTCAATCCTATTAAGATCTGAAAAATGTTTGATGCAAATGAACTTCCTCAAACTACTGGAAAGCCAAAAATTAACTTTGTCTGATCTCCACAATTAATCTTATGTGCTTCGATAACTCATCCCAAACCTTTTGAATACTCTTCCATACATGATTCCATAAGTTATCCACACTTCTATAATGTGCCGATCTGCTCTCCAAATCTCAAATGTCCCTTCCACTACTAGCATCCACAAGCTATTGATTTCTTCCCATGCTTCCACAACCATTTACACAGAAAATATTAAATTTTAAACCACAAAGCTCAAACTGCCAAGCTTCCAACCTGCATAAAAAAGCACAAAGTCTTCTAACACACCAGATGGTATTTGAACTCATCCTCCACACTACACCACAGGAAGTCTTGCTGAAGTTTCTCTAACATCCTCACCACCAACACTAGAACAGGAAATAAAGATGAATATTATGTATGCAAACTAGACAAAATAATCAGAATAGGTTCCTCTGACAGCTGTTGCCTCACCCATCATCTAGTCTCCTCTTAAACCTGTCTATCACTGCATCGCAAATCCCCAGTGGCTTTGAATGACGAAGCACACCAACCTTGTACCACGAAATACCTGGCAAGCCATCCCTTTCTGCATCTCACAACAAAACAAATCACTTTAACCAAATTAATCTTCAGACCAAAAATCACTTGGAAATAAAAAGAAGGCACCTCAAATACGTCAGCTAATTTTCCACTGTCTCGTACAACATAATTGTATCATGACCAAATAAGAGATGAGATACTATTACAGAATTTTCAATAACAGCAGCAATTAGAAACACTTAAATAATACCCCACCTCCACATCCCTTCCCATCATGTGACTGGAAGCTTACAAAACCACAATTAAGAGGGAAAAAGTAGGTCCCCCTGTCTAGATCTTCGAGTTCCTAAAGAAAAATACAGGGGTACCACTAATGAAAATAAAACTCTGTAAAACTCCAGATGTTATCAAATTCTCATATGCCTTGAAAATATGGGTGTAGAGGGGAATGATGAAACATGATTCAAGTTCAACCCCAAATAGTTGGGAAAAGGCTTTGCTGAGTTTAGTTGAGTTACACGCCATGTCCATGAAATGGGATAGAAACCGCCACCCTTCTCCATTTTAAGCTTACACACCAGTAGATCATTGCTTCTGATCTCTGAATCCGAACACTCACTGGCCATCAATTCTGCATCAAGTATCTAAAGGTCCCTATAAGCGCATTCTGAGATTCTTATACAACAGCACCCATCACCCTTTAGCCTCAACCTTTGCAATATGCTTTATACAAACCCTTAACTAGAGCCCTCCACTCTGTACTCCCACCGTCACTTGCAAGCTCCCCAATTCTTTTCTCCTCCAACCACATCTTACCAAATCTGAAAAGCCCTTTACCTATTTTAAGGCTCCCACTGTAACAGAACAGGAATATGATCCCCCAAAAATCATTTGCATAGTCAATCATAGTCAATTGAGCCATATATTAAAATTTCCCCTCCAATTCCACCAAGAACAAAGCCATGTCTATCCAAGACAAAGTGAGCCCCAGATTTTAGGAACAGCAACTAGAGATCCATCTAGTAGTAGCAATGAAGTTGGAAAATCCTCCATCACCACTTTCAACCTAAACTGTTCGATCTTTCACTTGGGAAGTGCACCACATAACTCTCCTCCATACATCACCCATCTCATCCTTCTCCCCTCAACACCTTGTTTTATCCTCCCGTTGGCATCTTCAAACAGCCCATACACCTCAAAGAACACATTGGACCCATCTTTTACAAAGGAGAAAAGACAAGATAAAGAATTCCCTCACCACAACCACCTCCTCCTTACACAATCGTCCTCTTGTCCAAAATCAATGAACAATCAGACTTCTGAGTATGCATGTGGATGCTGCTGTGTAGGTGTTTTACTCAATTATTCCCCAACCTAAGAAACCTTAGAGCAATAGTTCTCAACCGCTGCTGTGCAGGTGTTTGATTCAATTATTCCCCAAGTTCTAGACCCTTAGGGAAATAGTTCTCGGCTGCAGTATTCATGCTGGAAGGGGTGTGTGTGTGGTGAGTACACGTGTCTGCTAAATTGAGAATTTGGTATAGAAAGAAGCAACCAGCACAATTGAAAACTAAGATTATGGAGGTGACCATCATTGAGTATTAATCACTGGCTAAAACTTCTAAAGTTTAAGGGTCGTTTGGTAACGTTTACGTTTATCTGTTCCTTGTTTTTTATTTCTATTTCTAAGCGTTTCCATTTCTCCATGTTTCTGCGTAAAAACAAAATAATGTTTGGTAACACTAATTTGTTTGTTGAATTTTGTAAACAAGAAACACTAAACATGTTTAGTAATGTATATTTGTTTCATAAAGAGCCAACACTTCACTGTTAAAAAATAAATAAAAAACCTTCGGTCAGATCTTCATTCACATTCTTCTCCATGCCTTCTAACCTATATTTATTGTTCAAAACAATTTGCAGACTCATACCGTTTGTTCTGAAGATCATTTATAGAACTCTGAAGATCACTTTATAGAACTCTGCATTACATATTATATACACATATATGTATACATACAATTATGAAATAATTGCTTAAATACTGTAAACCTACAAGAAAATTGGAGTGAGAGAATTCTAATTTATAAATATATATATATATATATTCCTCTTGCGGTAAAAGGCATGATTTGGATTTCAAAGACCTAGAGCAGGTTGGTTCAGTCTCCCTTCTATTACCAAGTTAGTCACTCAATTGAATTAAAGAATGGAAAGAAAAGACAGATCCAAAGTGTGCACCCAGATTAATACGCCTAAGCACCAACGACAAATTTCTTGAAGATTTCATGGGCTTTTGAATCTAAGCTTGGATCTTTATTTTGTTTCATCTGATATGGATTTTGGGTTGAAATCGAAGAGATTTTAATCAAGTTTTAATTGCTTTTCTTGAAAATTTGAGCGTGTTTGATGGAACTAAATTCATCTAGTCTCACGAGGAACATGGCATTTTTAGCTATGGAGAAGAAGAGAGAATGGAATGAGGGAAAAAGGGTTTGAGGAGAGAGATATAAACAACAGAGGTGTGTATAAGTTGGAAACATATTCCCCGTGTTTTGGTGAGAAACAAGTAGAAAAAAAAAAAAAACTGGGCTTTTGATGAACATGTTCTCAAATTCTAAAAATAAAAATAATATTACCAAAAATATTTATCTGACTTGTTTTTCAGTCTTTTGGAAACAAAAAACAGGAAATAGAAACATTACCAAACGAACCCTTAGTTTCTTTCCATGAAAACTGGTATTATTGTCGTCTTATGGCTTTCCTACATAAAGCAAATTAGACGAGATGAAGGGAGGAGACGGCTAATTTTGCTCCTCTCAGCCAGTTGATTATTGAAGTTATTGATATATTTTTTAAATGATTATTTATCACGAAAAGAACTTTGAATGCTCTAGTCCTCTGCATGCTTCCTTTATTTGAACCATGGGTATAGACAAGATCTCTACTATATATCTTTTCATTCCAGGCAGTGGTGACTCCCTATAGGAATGAGAAGTTTAAAGTTGCACTTCAAATAATGAGTTACATTACACTGCCTTTTGATTCTTTCATTTGTTATCGGTTTCTTTTCATATCTAAGTATATTACGTTATGCCTTCATTTGTTACTCCCAATAAGGTGCTCATTATCCAATGCTCGAATCATTCCTTTTCTGTTTTTGAAAGTTGCAATCCTTTGGAGCATGCGGAAGAAAAAGAAGACGACTCTAATACGGCAGTTGTAAACTACATTTTGTGTTCTAGTATTCTTCAATATTTCCATTGTTGAATTTAATGGACCCAGCATAATTTTGTTTATTTATTCATGCGTAAAGTACAAAACAATTTTCTTTTAAAATGTGCTCATGTTTCAAAAAATTTATTGCTACTAACCTTTATTGCCTAAAGTCAACTGTTACTTGACCCAAAGACCACAGTATCAATGTTGTAAATTTATGCCTAGTTGAGTGCCTAGATCACTCAAGGCTATATAATCAATCATCTAGGATTCCCAATTAGGTGTCCCACAATCTACCAGACACATGCCTACACAACTTCCATAACAAGCCTGTGTAGGTGAAAGAAACTTAAAACAACGAGACAGCAAAGTCGTTAGATTCATTCAACTATTATTGAAAACTCAATTACTTATATAAGTCATAATTTAACAAACTTATAATATAATAACTTTATCTATCAAGCCCTCTAAAGCAGAGTAGCACCACCTCTCTCTCTCTTACACACACACACACACACATATGAGAACACACTGACACAATTTTGTTATGATATTTGCACATGCGAGCATTAGCAAACACCGGAGGTAACATGTGTTATTTACTGGTTTTACCCAAGAGATGTTTCAGTCAAAATGTCATTCTGTATAGATTGCCTGATCAAATGAGACTGTTCTCGAGAGATGTAAAGCAAGCCTCTTATCATGCCTTTAACTTAACCAAGATAGTTGAACTATTGTCCTAGAATAATTATTTTCATGCTCTGAGTTTCAATCTGAAGTCTTGATTTAACAATAATAATGCAACATGTATTGCATTTACCATAGGCCTTTTAATATCTATAGCAATAACAAACTAAAAACAAAAACAAAAGAAAAAGTGATTGTGGCAGCTTGAAAGCCTTTCAAGTGTCGAGTGCAATGGACAAATATCAAACAAAGGTCCAAAAAGAAGTACACGATAAATTGAACTGAACATACACCAAATGCGGGGAAAAAAAAACATGAATAAACAAAGACGGGAACAAAACAGAATACCATGACTTTGGGGCTCCAACAAAGACAACTGTGCTGATTGGCATACACCTTTGCCCTCCAGCACCAAAACCCGCGGCAACTAGAGCATTTAAAGTAGCATCCATGCTTGCATCAGGCAAGACAATTGCAAAATTTTTGGCTCCCATATTGGACTAAAGAGAACAGTCATCCAAACAAATTAAAAGAACTTCAACAATTGTGGGCATAGAAGCAACCACATTTGCTTATATTCAAAAGAAAATTGCATGATTGTTACCAAAGAAAGATGAACAGCACTTACCTGAACACGTTTACCATTAGCTGATGCTCTGGCATATATATGCATGCCAACCTTGAAATAATAGTTGAGTAAATTTACAACTAACAAACACAAGATTAATTACACTAATGCTGTAATCATAAGAAGATCTACAATAAACTTAAAAAACAAAGGGGAAACTCAAACGAAATGTCACGCGGGCTGTTGTACATAAGGTAAACCATCCATCAAAAGATAATGATTAAAAACAAATTCACGGAAAGGTAATTGCATTAATTTGAACTATAGACACTTCCAACATATTCTGAAAATCTGGACACTTAGTTGCCACATCCCAGCACTTGGCTGACACATCTTAGACATTCCCGATACACAAGTCTTATATAATATAAATACTTCTAAAAGTAGCGAAGTCCAACAATTTTGGAAAAAAATAAACCCACTACAAAGTGTCCAACTTTAAAAAATAAAATAAGAAGAAGAAAAAGAAAATTGCATTATAGACACAGTCACTACAAGTCAAACATGCAATAAATTTATTTCAAATAAGATGAAAATATATTATAATGAGAAAGTAGGGAAAAAGTAGTATATAGGTGGAGAATCAATTGCTGGAATTTCTATACAGCAATATTAAGGATTTCATATACTAATCAAAATGCCAAAATGTGAGACAAAGGATTGGGTTATGAAAAACTTGTGAATTTAGGACTTAGATTGGTGCAAAGAGGTGACTGGTTTTTTGGAAGGGAAAGTCTGGAATTGTCAACTTTCGGAAAGTGTAATATGCTGAAATTGCAGGGAATCAATTGCTGAAAATTCTATACTGCGATACTAAGGGTTTCAAGTGTTAATATATATTTCAGAAGGCGAGAGAAAGGGTTAGAGACGATTGGGGATTGGTAAAGTTATGGGAATGTGAAATTCAAAATACTACCAAATGCTCTAAGAGTCAGACTTCAGAATACACACGGTTAATTAGACCTAGAAGGGCGTGATTAAGTCTACTGGATATCAATTCTCAACTAACCTTTTAATTCTCTGTTAATCCTTATCTAAAATTCACTTAAGTAGTTAATCAAGTATCTCTTTTGCAATCACACGAATGCATATAAGCAGTGAGTAGCAGAGCCACAAGATTTTTTACGAGAAAAACCCTAGAAAGGAAAAAAACAGGAGACCTCTTCAGCCATCAACAATCTACTATAGGAAAGAAGTTTTACAATCATTTGACAGATGTTCAGCGTGTTCTTTGCTGATCTCCATCTCCATCGTCTTCTTGTGGCTGTAAACAAACGACTTAAAAACATTTGATACACATTACAACCAAAGTTTTGAACAAAAACTTGCCAACAAATGACTAACTATCCGAAGAGGGAATAATATAGGAACTGTTTTGCGCCTGCAAGCATTAACCAGTGAATGTAATTAAAGGGAAGAAAAAGAGAAGCAGTACTTCCTTTATAAAACTATTGTAGAATAATAAATTCAAGTGTTCTTATAAGTTATTCATATGTTATAAGTTAAAGGAGAGAGAGAGCCCATTTATTCTCTACTCAGAAATTAGCAAAACACTTCCACACTCCAACAACCTACGATATTAGTGTCATATTCTTCTGTGCTTACGATCGATCTAAAGAGAAGAAAAGTATGAAACACTCTCCCAGTTCTTGACCAAGTAAGAACTAAGTGGACACCCTTTGGGAAGATAGGATGATGCATGACCATGGAACCACCTCATAAGCAATACGAAAATTCATCAAGAGTATTTTCAGAAATACAGAAGACATCAAAGTCAGGACCCCACTGTAATTATGTAGTGGTGGAGCCCCTCCTTTATTCAACACTTTCTCCATGCACATACAAAGACCAAAAGAGGAGAGGGGGGAACTACTTTAAACAATTCATGAGGAGAAAAAACATCTCACATCTTCTAGTTTTTTTATCTACTCTTTCTAATCTAACAAATCAGCTTTCCATTTCAGCAAAGTAACTGTTCAAACAATACATTTCCTCATGTTGGACCAATTATTGTTCAAATGGAAAACAACTTGTGGTGAACATGTTGACAACTCATAACTGGCAGCTTCATCACTTGAGTCAAACAGTCTTAGTGTTTTTATTTCATTTCTGTTATTTCTTTTCACTTTCAACAAATCATCATTCAAATACTAACAAATTCAATATGTTCTGGATGTGTTGAAGCAGACAAAAACTTGCAAATTCATTTTGTATTCATACATAGACATTTACAGCGACTGAACAGAGATTTAAAACTGAAAAATAACTTACTGTATCTGAACCAACAAATGATATAGCTTTAATACTATCATCATCACAGATAGCATTGACAATGTCCTGCTCAAAAGCAAAGAAAAAGAGTTAAGTCACATGGAAACATGTGAAGACAATAGCAGCTTGTGCATAAGATTAATGCACCAAACCTAAAAGTAGTAGTAGTAGTGACACATTCAATCAAAAAATACGATGGCTCACGAGTCCCAAGTGAATATCAACAAAAAATTAAAATGACACATCAACCCCCGGTGAAGTTTTCATACCGAAGGGAAGGTGAATAAAGTAAGCAATTGCTTGTCAAGAATGAAGTCAGAGCTTACGTTGGTGCCATGGACAATATTAAGGACACCATTAGGCAAACCAGCCTCCGATGCTAATTCTGCGAGTATTATGGAAGCCCCTGAAACAACATCAAATAACATAATATTAACTTTTAAGCATGAACAAAACGTTTTATGAAGGTTTACTAAAAAAGAACCAAATGTTAACAAAAAAAAAAAGGGAAAAAGAAGTACTAAGTTTTAGGAAATGCATGTGGAACAAGGAAATATACTAATGACCGGTAACTGGCATAAATTCAATGAGGGAATATTACAAAAAATTACGTAAGAGAGAACTTTTAAGGTAATAAATGAATCAAGGATATTGATTCAAAGTAAACCTTTCATGATTGGTTATTCACAAATTTTGTTTTCACAACCATTCCCTCGTAGTGCTGTGCTTGAAGGTGTTACACTGTTACTTACTGTTGGTCCACATACGTGGGGTGCTGGGATGAGTGAGCAGACAAATACCTAATCTTTGACATTACCTTGCTATTCTGCCTAAGTTACTAAAAATATAATCTCATAAACACAAGAATATAGTGTTGCAGACGTTCCCAAAAATTTGAATTTAGTGTTTTATTATTATTTTTTTTTAATAAAAAAAAGAAAAAGAAAAAGAAAAAAGAAGACAACAATTTTTACTGTTAGGCTATCCCTCGTGCGCCCTAATGTCATACATCTTCAAAACTAAAAACACATTCTTAGGACCAATGGGCCAGTGGCCTAACGGTATCAGGCCCTTACTTTCCAAAAGGAGGTCAGGAGTTCAAGCCTCCATGGAGGCATGTGTGTGTGACTAAGAAAAAAAAAAATACACATTCTTAGGCTATCCTAAAAGTCCACAAATGGAAGCAAACTACTAAATCTACCACTTATCTAAGAAACTAGGTTGATAAGAATATAAATTTTCAATCTTGCCACCAGTATTTCCACTTTCTCAAAAATACTTATATTTCTTTTCTTCAACAGAACCCCCAAAAGCAACCTGCATCCCATTCCATACTCTTCTATTTCTATTATTTACTGCGTAAATTGACCAACTAGAAAGCAAGTCAAAGGCTATTTGAGGCAGTGCACAACAGGCCGCAAAAAATAAAGAAGATAAGATCCCAAAATATCCACCTGCCAACACAGAAAGAGGTGATCCATTGATTTGGCAAGCCTTCTTACTTTCTTAGGCATAGTGCTTGTGTTTAAAAATATAGCCAAGGTAACACTGCTGGTGTCACAGAGGCACAAAATTATTTTGGTTTCACTTAGCAAGTGAAAAATGCATGAACAATTAAAGCGAAAAAAACAAAGCAGGGACACTAGGATTTATCTAGCAAACACATAAAAGTTTAATTATCATGTTATTGAATGCAAAACAGGATTAAGAAATCCTAGCTTTAGGATTCATAAGTTATTGCACTAGGAGGATGCACTAGGAGGACATAATGCAAAACAGGAACAGGAAGCAGATGACAATCACCTGGATCTTTCTCTGATGGCTTTAGGATAAAAGTATTACCACATGTAACTGCAATTGGGAACATCTGCAGAAAATTGACACAACATACAGATTTTGATCTTTATTTCTTTTTGCAGGTGATGAAGATTATCAATCACCAAAAGATCAAAATAAGAAATTAACAAAGCTTAACCATGAATCATGATGAAAACTATACAGAGGTTGCCCATGAAATTTGATCACAAAGAAGACTTCACTATACATTCTTGCACATTCATGGGTGATAAACATAAATGCATATCTAGCATCAGACTAATCAAGGATAAGTATCCTCCAAACAAAAACTATGGCCTTGAAAGTAAGGAAAATGTAAGAACGAATAAACAAAAGAAAATAATGGAAAAAGTATGTTAGGCTTACACATAATGGAATCATTGCTGGAAAGTTGAAAGGACAAATCCCGGCACAAACACCAAGTGGCTCTCTAATGCTGTAGGTATCAATTCCATTAGATACATCTGAAACAAACTCCCCCATTTGCAGAGTTGCCAGTCCACAAGCATGTTCCACGACCTCTACAAGAAAGAGAACCAAAATTTTAGAAGCCATCCCCATCACCAATTGAACTTAAAAACCCACTAGAGCTGCTTAAATAACAAAAGATGATAAAGACACTTACCAAGCCCGCGAAATACATCACCATATGCATCCTTCAACGTCTTACCCTGTTCTGAAGTAATACTTAACGCAAGTTTATCCTAAAAGCATACCAATGATTCCCATCAATGAGATATTATACATTAAGTGAAAACAATAGTTGAGATTCCAACACACTTACAATGTCTCTCCGAATAAGTTCTTGAAACTTAAACATGATACGCTGACGAGTGGTAACTGGTGTGCTTCGCCACGACAGAAAAGCCCGTTTTGCTGCAAATAATGCAGCTCTGAATTCTTCATTGGTAGTTAAAGGAACTTGAGAAACAACTTGCTGTGTTGCCTACAATTGATTGGTAAATTCAGTTATTAATGATTGACTTAAACTGTAAAAAGGAAAATGAACAGAAAATTAATGGGCATTTTCTGTACTTACAGGGTTTATAACGTCAATTGATATTTTTGATAGTGAATCAACAAATCTACCGCCGATGAGATTCGGAACCCTCTGATAGATAAACAATAAGTACTACTTTACTATAACTTCAAAATAGACCCACCTCCCAACACACGTGAGGAGGACCCCCCGCGCGGGGGGGGGGGGGGGGGGGGGGGGGGGGGGTGTTGTTGGAGGTTGTTGAGAGAGAGGATAGAGTATAAATCCTATTAGATTCTCTCTCTCTCTGTGTACTTCCCCAACTAGTTAAGATTTGAGTTAAGTTCATTCAAGTCATATGTAAGCTTACCGGAGGGTAGCGCTGCCTCCAAGATGGCACAGTACTGGTTGAGATTTGGGAATCTCCCACAGCAGATGACTGAGGTCTCAATGACTTGAATCTCCTCACTGAAACAGAAGAATGCAATAATCTCTTAGGATGAAAGCCAAAATCTAGAAAAGCTGATTATTTACAGAGGGCTAGCTAGGGTTTTACAAGAGCAGGCAGGATTGATAAATTGCCAGTCATTATAATGGCTGAACCTACTAAAAGCAAAAATAGGAACCTTTTAACCAACATTAACACCCTTCAGAAGAACCAACACAAAATCTCCTAGCTCTCACCAATTTTGGCCTTATATTAAACATTTCCTATTATTCATCCTCCAAAAAGCATGTCCTCTTAAGAACAAGATGCCAAAATGTTTCAATATTTTTGAGTTAACCAAAATCCCAACAATATCCAAAATTGCATACCAAAAGGTGATGATACCACAAGCAAAAGAAACATTTTTCACAAATATTGCTTAAAACTATAACGCCCTAGTCTAGATAAGTCATTCTCAACGTGTCATCAGAGGCAGTCCAAGCAGAAGCAAAAAATAGAGCGTAAATCCAGAATTCAACCTAGAGCACAAGCACTCCCACCCGTTAAGTGTGAGGCATGACAATCAGTCACAAAACAACTACCACCATAAGGTATCATCCCACAAATCACTAGGAGCAAATAAGTATGACTAACAATTAACAAGTGCTTCAATGGCATGGACAGTTCACAGCCCCTTGTTCTTATTCTGTTTAGGTAGATTATTAAAAGACCAAAGCCAAAACAAACTCATTCAGCCTCGCATACTTGTGATGCAAATCTAGTAGCTAACTAGCCTGAGCATGTGTGCTCAAACTTTTTAAAATATTATCTTTTTTAATTGACCAAGCTGCCATTGTGGGAAAACTAAAACATTCAAATCTCAGATATACAAGGCTTTGTAGATGAAATTTCTAAGTCTAGAGAAGAGCCTTGGGATAATGCTATTAAAGCACAATAATTCCCAGTCCAATCATAACTACAATAAATTTTGGATCAAGATATGCTATAAATTTCTGAACCCTTGATCCTCATACACATCAACACCACAAAACTAATCATCACCTCAAAGCATTGAGATCATCAATCTAATTAATTTGACATAGATCTCACCTTAATTAATGGCCTTGTAAGGATTCTGCAAACTTTAAATTTGACATGCATAAACAATGAAGAGTCACACAGATCAGGTGGCATACGTTGATCATGAGTTTAGCAACCTAAACCATACATAAATTTGCCAGGTCCACCAATGTCTTATATAGAGGTTTATACACAAATTTTGCTTAAAAAGAAGAGAGCATGCAAAATCATGAAAGAGTTAGAAAGGTGAATCAACCTGTTACATTTCCTTGTCGAAGCTTAGCTTTAACGTTGTAAACATGCTTTGGTGTTGATAAAAGCTCAGGATTGCTTTGTCTCAGTCTCTTTAGAATTTGGCGTGGTTTTAAACCAGCATCTGTCATCTCTTTAATTAACAGAACTTCAGTCTCTGTGAAGCGACGAGCAGAAGGATGCTCCGAAATATCCCTCATGGCTTCATGGTTGTGTGAACCATTTTTAACGGTAAGCACCCACAAGCCATCCTCCTTTTTCCCCACACATTCAAAAGGGCAATTCGTAAGGCGAGAACCTGTTTTTCTTTTGCGGACACGGTCACCAGCGATCTCCTCAACAGTTTTACGCCGATTACGATAAACACCTCCTCTGTCACAGCCAAGTATTACCACTTTGTCCTTCTTAGACTGCTTGATAGTTACGACATATCCCTGGGATACAGCAAACTCCCCAACATGTTGGATAAGTTCTTCACGGTCTACAAAACTTCCAGGTGGAGGTGGAAGCATATGAAGGGTTTCAGTTAACTCTATGCAACTCTGAATGTCCATTACCAATAACAAAATGTGAAAACCTGCATTCCAGACTGAATTCACACAATGTCAGAAGCTCAATATTTTAAAAACTAGAAATTATATAAAATCAGCTTACTGATTACAAAGAGAAGAGATAAAAAGTTTGATACATTACAAGTTTTGAAGCTCGATTAGAACAGCCAAAAAATCAACTTAATTTTGTTTTTTTATTTAAAAAAAAAAAAAAAAAAAGGTGTCCACTGGTTTAGTCACCTTGCACTTGCTTGATGTTTTGATTATATCATGAAATGGACTTTTTTAAAAAAGAAAAAGAGAATAAAGGGAAAGATGGCTATTTGATGACAAAACTAGGGCTGCTCTAAGAATGCCGTGTCCACATTGGTTCAAAGAAAATGAAGTACAGCGATGAAGAAAAAAAAAAAAAAAAAAAAAGAGAGAAAATCTAATAAAACATTTTTCCTATCATTTCATTATTTAATTCTTAAAATATTATGACCACATACCAATAGAAGGGAAAAAGAATATAGAATGGAGAACTCAGCTTGGATCAAACTTTGGTTGTTGGCCATCTATAGCTAACCCCACGGTTAAGTAATGCTTAAATGAGGAATCACATTTCTCCTGTTTACATAACCAAATGCAGAAACTGCAATATTTAAATTTTCTTTTCTCTGTTCCTCTCCTCCATGTGGCTGGAATTCAGTCCAGGATTTTAGTTCAAAATCTGCAAAAAAGAAACAGAACGTTGTAACACGACCCACGGCCTTAAAGGTCAATACTTAAATTGATAATGTAAAAATTGATGCTTGCATATAAATGGGGTTTGTTTTTACAATGGCTGGTGAAGCACTTGACATTTTAGGATTTGTTTACTCTAAAATCTATTCATCTGTAAAAGAGGGTGATAAGAGGATCTAGTTTGAGTGATCAATACAGATAGAAGGATACACTGCCTGCAATTCTGTGTTGACAGATTAATGTGTCTAATATATTGTCAAATCCAAGGGAGTGAAAAAAATAATAGGTTGACTCAAAGTTGTGGGGAAAAAAGAGAAAACCAACAAATTAACATGTACATTAACCACAAAGAGGTCAATTTCAAAACCATAACCAGCAAACTTGTAAGAATATGTTCATTATATAAAAACAATAAAAGGGCAAATGACAAGAAAGAAGATGAAAATGAATGCAGTGAGAAAATTCTAAAGGAAAGATGTGCATGGAGATGACGATAGATTTCTTGATTAAAATAGAGAAATAGTTTGTAGGCGAGGAAAATGAAGCACAATATCCAGTAAGCCAATAGGTGCTACTTGCTAATAGAACTCACGCCATTGTGGACAAGGAAAATGAAGCACAATATCCAGTAAGCCAATATGTACTACTTGCTAATAGAACTCGTGCCTTTGTGTATGAGGAAAATGAAGCACAGTATCCCTCCTTTTGTAATTCAAGGGTGGAGGGGGGCTGATTCTAACTTCTACATGTCATACTTGGAATGAGAGGGAGACTTTTTAATCACTTGTTTTTATCCTGCTACTTAGCTAGAGAGGTTTGGTTTTTAGTTCATTTCATTTTGCAGTTGTGAGACGCTCCTTCGCTGCAGCCTATGGCTGAGATGGTGCAGTGGTTTATTGCTCATACTTCTCCCAATCATACTTGAGCAAAACTCTGCAGATGTATTTTTTTCATGATCCTCTGGAACCTACAGAGAGGAATAAAAGATTGCACGAAGGGCAAGCCAACCAGATTGCTGTTGAGGCTTGCTTGGAAGGGGCTCAATCTGTGGGTCTGAATCTTCAGGATCTTGGTTCCATTTTCTTGTTTTGTTTTAATCATTTTGTATGGTTTTTATTTCAGTTTGGTTGGTTAGGGTATGCCCTTGCCAATCTTTCTTTGAGTGTTGTTTTTAAAGTTATCAATAAAAAGAAAAAAACACATTCGGGGGCAAAAAATAATAATCAAAGTAGAAATCATCAAAGGTTCTTATTCCTCTCTTCCCAAACTGACCAAATAGTGGCCATAAGAACAAAATTAGAAAGCAACCTTTTAAAAAAAAAAACCCCACCAAAGAAAAGTAAAGGAAACAAAATTAGAAAGCACAAATTTGCAAGCCTGTGGCTTTTTTTGTAGCCTAGGAGTACCTTTAACACCTGTGGTCTTTACCACAATCCTGCAAGCCATATTTACTTGTCATCGATGGACTTCAAATTACATTGTTCAAAGAGGTAGCTAGATGTACTATGTCCTATGTAGGCCATGGCAGTGTTTATTGAAACAGGTTGAGTCAAGATGAGATCCTTTTGTTGCATGGATTTTATTTGTTGATAGAAAGACATAACTTTGGTAATGGGATCAAGCAATAATAACTATATTTATACAACTGCTTCTCTAATTTCTGACTGGAAGTGATGAAAGTAGCTTCCACCAAGACATATAATGATGCTGAGAACACTATCAGTGAAGCAAGTTCTAGTGATCACCATGCTTTATTTGTTGAAGTGTTATTCTTTAGCAGACTAAGTGGCTTTGAACAATAACCAATATTATTATACAAGTGATTCTCTTCACGTAGGAATGAAATATGAGGAAACAAGATTTTTCAAATATTATTTTAGAGATATAATTCTCCCTCAGGAGTGAGCTTCATGTCCTTTAAATTATCTAACGTGGCTAAAAGAGTTGAGGGACATCGGAGGGATTTTTTATAAATTTTAATGATAATAAAGGAGGCTAGAAGGAGATTTATTATTTTTATTTTTTTGGATAAGTAGAAGGGGATTTATTTTTGCATATATGAAAAGTTCTCTGTCCAAGCAGATGTTTGTGCTTCAAATGTTTTTTGAAGTGCTTCAAGTTAGTGCATTAGGCCAACAACTTGGGCACAAAGGGGTTGCAAGTAATATGGCTTACAAGATTGTGGCTAAAAATATTTCATTTTGGGAAACCCACGGGAACCCTTGGAAGTTTGTGCCTCTGCTGCTTCTTATTTTCCGAGGTTTTTCTTCCATTCATTTTCCTTAGCCTCTCTCTCTTCTTGTAATCCTTTCAGCCTTTTCTTTTTCCTTTTGTCCATTTTTCGAGGGTTATTTCACGCAATCTTTAAAGGCGGAGTGCTAATACCTTGGATTTGGATAGGTTTTAAACCTTTCTCATTGCATCTTGATGTTGTCATTCTAGCTTGTTTCATGCTGAGAGGATTTGGGACCTTGAGTAATCATTTGGATCCTTGCTTGTAAATCCCACACTTTCATCCTGTTACAATGCAACTATCCATGCGTATGCTTTGCTTTTAGGTGGGTCTAGTTTTCTTAGATTCCTCCAAAGAATTAGGCTGTTACATGAGCTTTCATATGAAAGAGTACTGGTACCTCTTATGTGCTTCAGAAAGGAAGGGAGTTGTTGATCGTTCCCCTAATATTTGCTTCTTTTCCTATGTCAACGGACAGACAATCGATAACTTTCTCCTCCATTGCCCCTTTAGTGAGATGCTCGTCTCTATTACTTTCAGATTTGCAGATATGAGGTGGGTTATCCAGCTAATTTGTGCTATTGTTTCTTGTTTTTATTTATATTATTTATTATTATTATTATTTTTCTAAATTTCTACTTTAATTAGTTTGGTAATGGTTAGAGCCGTAAGGCAGATTCCTAGCTATTTTTTGCATTTATCATAGGGTTTGCAGCCACTAGCTTGGCGGGCATTATTCAGGATTGGTCAGCCACTTCTGGTATTTCTCTCTCTTTGCCATCTGGCCGGTCTAGACTCTACTTCTACCTCTGCAAAATTTTCCAAAATTTATGTTGATGGTTAAAGGTTATGGCACTTTTGGGATTGAAAATTTATGCGATTGCAGACTGTAATTTGCTTCCTTCACGGTAGAGATTCTATCTGTTAAGTGGAGCCCCACAGTCCATTGCTATTAGGTGGAACCTTGAGATTGACAACGACGACTGCCCAATAAATTATCAAAAATGATGCACTAGGGTTTTGGTTTTTAGGGTTATGCTTGAGATGGTAAGAGTAGATTTTTAGGGGTGGATTTAGGCCTTAACTCATTGAGGTTTAAGACTGATTTTGGTTTGAAATTCCAAAAATCAGATTGTGGGATTATTTGGACAGCAAAGGAAGGCTGAAGTTTTAGGGCTAAAATAAATCTGGATAAATCAGGAGGTATTAGGTTATGGAATTAATGATTAGGGTTTCATGATTGATTTATAAGGGTGGAATTATGCTTGAATTCATTGAGGTTGAAGGCTATTTTTGGTTTGAAATTCCAGGATTCAGATTGCAGGATTATTTAGACAGCAAGGAGTGCCGAGATATCAGGGTTAAAGAAAATCCAGATAAATTAGGAAAACGTAGATTATCGTCTAAGGTGGCTAACAGATCACTTCATGTTGATAACACAGATAGCTTGATGCCCTTGTTTATATTATCTAAGGTAGCTAACGGAAATAAGAAACATTAAAGGGACTTTTTTATTAGCTTTTGTGATGTTGAGGCCTGAATTTGGTTCCAGGTCACGTTTCAACCCTACGATCCGTTGATTGAGTTTTCTGCGGATTGTGGACCATATTTAGTACTCTCTTATAGCCCAATATATAAGGGCATTTAGGGTTTGGAGTGGGATATCAAGAGACTGAAAATTGTAGAAGAAAGAGTGAAAGCCAGAGCTAGGATTTGGGGCTGAAACTTGTAATTTCCTGTTTTTCGCATAGTGAAAACTTTCGCCGGATCTTCACTATGGACGTAGGCTTTGCCAAACCACATAAATCTTTGTGTTCTTTGTATGTAGCGTGTTTACTTTTTGTCCTGCTTCGTGATTGTTGCTTGGGTTTATTTTTACAAATATGAAAAGTTTTGTCTCGGGGAATGCTGTACTTAGTAAATGCTTTTGAAATGCTTCCAAGCTTTAAGTGAACCGATTAGGCCTGCTACGTATATAAGTCATGAGTCGGAAATTTCCTACTCAAAACTAGAGTTCTATTGTGTCAAAATGTCTCGAGTTGTTCAAGTACCTTAAGAGAGGAGAATTCCTAATTTACTCAATCTAGGATTTCCTCAGACAACATCACATGTGAGTGAGTATTTATCAAAGAGAATTCACAAATTCAACTGATCAATTGTTAGGCCAGAAAGGGAGAGCAATCACTAAAGAAGCGGATTCACGAGGAGCGATGTCTGTTTATGAGTGGATAGAAGGCGGGAAAACTTGTGTGGAAAGCTTGAAATCAGTCTGTGTTGAGAGGTAAAAAGGGTTCTAGGGTGAGGGAACTATCAACCTAGTTGTAAGTTGTAACTTCTTTCTCAAATAATAGATGTACTTGTCTGGACTAGGTCCCATTGTTTTTCCTATTTGGATTTTTCATGTAAAATTTTGTCTCTTCTCTAGTTTACTTTACTTTTCTATTCATGCATGATTGTGGTACGACTAATAGAAATTAAAGATAAATAGGAATAAAGATAATTCAAATATATATATATATATATTTTTAGGAATATTCAAATATCAATCATCACAATTGACTAACAAAATTTCAAATAAAAATACATGTTAATTTTGAAAGTTAGTTAAGTGCAAAATAACATTCATAAGATCTATTCTCCTCCTTCTAGGTCAGTCACTGCTCATACTCTGACATATTCGAGCCTTGAGTAATGATCTAACTCACCCATCAAGGCCAACAACTCATGGCACATGGCGGTCACAAGTAAATAGAGTTAAGAGTTAGAACTATATCAATTTTGGAGAAACCAACAGGAAACCTTGAAATCTTGTACCTATGCCGCTTCTTATTTTCACTTCCACACAATATGCTGCTGGGCATGGAGACTTTTGTTGGATTCTAGACTAACATGTACCAGGGGAGATGCCTTCTTCCATTCTTTTACACACACGTAATGGAAAGTTCCCTCCCTCTTCTGGGGTGGGAATAACCCTTTAAATACTTGCTATCATCCTCAAACAATGGATATAAGGTAAGCCCAAAATGGAAACTTAAAGACCAGTTCTTGGTGTCAGTTACTGGGTCATCCCCCTATTCAATATTTCTCATCAACTTAATCCATTTCGAGTACTTTTTCATCATTTTTTTTTTTCTCAGCCAAATTAGCCAATAATTTCTTTATCTTGTCCCGTGATTCTTTCTTAAGACTTCCACCACACTATCCGTCGTTTATTTGCTTCTTCAAAGCACAAATCAAAGAAGAGCTTATTTAATTCCGGATCCTTACAATTAACTCTACTAGTATCATTAGTAATGATACCTACACAAATATTTTTATCGTAACATCAAATACATGACTAAAATGCAAGCAGTAGTGACTTTTTTTTATAAAATGCAAACAATAGCGATTTGCTAATAAATAGCAAATGCTAATTTGAAGTAGAGAAATTCTTGTCTTGCCCAGAAAATCAGAACCTATAGTTTGTTGGTTTCAATAACTCTAGTAGTTATATTTTGGAATAATACTAATGAATATGTACTTTCATTTAGATTTCATTCTACTCAAAAAGTGGTCCATCTTTGACATGAAATTGTCTACAGAATATGAAAAACTAAATTTTTTATAAGTTAAACAAAGTGACTCTTCCATACAAAGGTGTTTGACAACTTGATTAGTGATTACTATGCTTGTAGCTCCTTATATTATTTCAGTTCTAATCTTATGGGAGGACATGCCACAATCCAAGGGATCAATACCTCAACCAAACCACAACATAACAATTGTCCAACCGAACCCTACTCTGTCCAGCCCATAGAAGAAGCTTATTTTCGGGGCTTTCCACTAGACCAAAGCAACTGACCTATGTCATAAGAAAGGCGGAAAAAAAAAATGTCTTTTCAGGGGCCGGGAAGCTTGTGTTTCCTACATGAAGAATCTCCTACAAAACAAAATGTTCTGGTTTCTGTGAAGGAAACCATCAAAGTCAAAAGGAATATGCAACATAAAACTTGACAGTTCTCCTAGTTCAATCCATTACACATGAATACTGAAATTCAGATGTCCAAAGTAAAAACAATTTAGCACCATTTCAGAAAAAAAAAAAAACACAAGGCAACAGTAATAAATAAAAATAAAAAAAATTAAAATTCAGATGTCCAAAGTTGAAACAATTTAGCACCATTTCAGAAAAATCAACAAATACAATTTATAAAGAATTAAATTACTAATAATCTGATTCCAATTACGGAATTATTGGATAAAAATGGGAGACATCTCTATAATTCTTTAGTAGAACTTGGTGTTCTTGTATGCCAAGATGACTGTATGAAATTAATTTACAAACTAAATTTTAAGCTAATACTCAAGTCTGGCTACACTAACCAAAAAGTTTGAGGAAGCTAACATATTTGCAATTAATTGAACACATCGGCACCAGAGAAACCATGCTACAAGATTGCGACAATGCAGCGTACTCACTATTCACATAACGGGAGCCTTAACTGATAGTTCTACTAAAACCTATACATGACTTCATACAAAAACCCACAAAATCCAATCTCTCTCTCTCTGTAAAAAAGGGTTAAAGAAATGTCTCTCGCCCATCTGTTGCCATAAAAATTTGATTAAAAAAACATGGCTTTAAATTTTCTACTGATTGTGTGTGCGCGCGCGTTTAATGTTTTCATTAAAAGAACATATAAAGTATTGCATTGCAAATTAACGCAAAGGAGGACAAGTCTCATTTATTAATATGCTGCAAATTTTAAGCTTGGAAACTGGAATTGATAATCAAAAACTGGAAGACCCAATACAAGTTTCAAACAAAAAAGATCGCAAGAAAATTGAAAGCAAAAATTGAAAATGAAACTTACCCTAGCTTTCAATTTCGTCGTTAAAAGGCGTTATGCAAAAAAAAAACCTTTCGATTCTCTATTGCGTTAAAACGAACTACTGGGATTTGGTGGAGGAACCATTGACGCTGCAATTGGAGGTTTCTTGGGGAGAGAAGTCGCAGAGAGATGTTTGAAGACAGTCACGTTTTCTTCGGACTTTTCAGACTGGTATACGAGGGCAAATTTGTCAATTTTCAAAATAATAATTATTAATTTTTGAGTATTTTAAGTAATATTTTAAACGAAAAATTATTATCATCTTTTATGTTTCTCCAATAAAAAGTCTTATAAATTTTCTTAAGAACCAATAAATCATATAAAAACAATTCTATTTTATTTCTAAATCACTGAATATATTATTTATACCCTTCCTAAATAGAATTACAATGTTCCTAATTATAATATATCAACATATCAGCATAGTTAGTGAACCATGTTCAACTTACACCTTGTTAATTCGTAAGAAAAATATATAATTTACAAAATATGAGAGTTTATAAGAAAAATACTAATAATATGCATTTTGCTTAAAAACTTCATCTAATCTAAATCTCAGGAAACCAAAAATTAACTCATGTAGCTAAGAGGTTTTTGTTTGTATATGACATATCTCCATTATTGAATAACCCAACTAGTTTGAAACCAATCAAAATTTAGGTCAAAATTTTTCTCTTTTTTAAAAAAATTTGAACTCAAATGGTATATAAAAAACCAATAATGAGTACCGTTTTGTTTTCATGCAGGGTTTATCAAAAAAATTAAACGATGCCTCATAATTTGAAAATGTACCATTTCGCACTAGCAATGAGAACATGTAAGAGGCATTGCTTAATCTGAACTAAAATGATATTTGTTCTCGCGGAGAGGCTCAAAGGCACAAGAAAATGAAAAAATTAACCATATATCCCATTAACAGACCTGTGATTCTAACATCCCTGTCACTGATATTTTTTTTTTTTTTTTTTTCAGAATATTTAATTTCTACCAATGCTTTTTTAGCACAGTGATTGAGTTGCTCATGTTGTTCTTAGGAGTCTGGCTTCGAACCTTGATACTTCTAACTTCTAATCTAACATTCTTGCCTTAAAAACAAATGTCTAATTTCTTGTTTCAAATTATCACACAAACTAGTTAAGAAACTATTAGATTGATACATATTCAATGTCTAATATGAAGGATTTAATTTTTTGCCATGCCCAAGAAAAAAGATATTTGCAACATCTTAAAAAACCTTAATTACTAAAATATAAACACTCAAAAATAATTGTACCAAAAAATAATTTAGGCAAAAGTAATTACAAATATGTTAATTTAAACGGTTCATAGAGACCAAATTACCCTTTAGTACACTAATTTAATGTAAACCTCTCACTTAAAGAATGTAAAACTCTCACTTAAACAAAGTAAAATGTTCAATGCTCTTTAGTGCCCAACAACTCATCCCGGAGAAGATTAGAAACTGATTTTGCTATCCTATTTTCAAGAAGCGCGTAGAGCTAAAAACAACGCTGGACTTCAAAAATCACTTCTATAGTGAGGTCTTTAGCTTCCCCATTTCAATGGATTAGCAACTCATTTTTAGATTCCATTTTGTAAAGGGCTCCGGTCACAAAATAAGAATAGGATCCGGGGGCGGCTGTTCATATTCAAAATTATGGGCATTAGTTGAATAGTTCCATGCTCCATAGTCCATGCTTAATTTGCTTAAGTAAAAATTTTACATTATTAAATATAGATTTTATATTAGTGCAATTAACGTTTTACATGAGTGTAGTAAAGATTAATTTGGTCTCCATGTATTCATTAACAGTAAAAATTAACATATTTATAATTACTTTTGCCTAAACTGTTTTTTTATGAGGTTATTTTTAGTATTTATATTTTAGTAATTAAGGTTTGCTAAGATATGTTTTATTAAATTAACCTTATCATTTAAACTATATTTAAAGAAATAAAATCTCTAATTAGATCCAACCTATGATTAAGGTAACAAGTGACTTTAATTCATGGGGAGATGGAAGGAGCAAGGAAAACATTGGCCTAGTTTGGTACGCATGAATAAAATAGAATATTGAAATGGAATTATATTGTTTAGTTGCAAATATGAAATGATGTGAGAATGAAATAATAAGTAGTGGTGGTGGAAGTGTTGGAAGGCAACAATGGTGATGGAAGGTGGCGGCGGTGGTGGTGGTAGAAGGGGGCAATAGTAGTGGGAGAAGGCAGTAGCGGTAGTGGAAGGTGGTGGAAAGTGGTGGCAGTGGCGGAAGATGATGGCGGTGACGGAGGTGGTGGTGGAAGGCGATCGAGGACGGTAGTGGTGGCGAAAGGCGGTAATGGCGATGGTGGTGGAAGGCGGCGACAATGGCGGTGGTGATGACCAAGAATTTCATTCCATCGGTTTAGGTGTGGAATGAATTTTCATTCTAAGGCAATACTCATTCCCACCTTAAATTTCATACAAAAAAAAAAATGAATGGTAGGAATAAGCATTACATTCATGTATACCAAACTAGGCCTAATTATGTCCATGTCTTTAAAGTCTTGGTTGCAAAGCATATAAGCTTTTTTTTTAGGAGATCCTCCTTTACTCTTTTGATAATAAGGCTACAGTGAATTGAAGGTGAACTTTTTGAACTCCTTCCTCCTAACAGAGAAGAGTCTTTTAAACACTTTGGGAAATGGTTCACTTAGGATTTTTTTGGCAATTGTTTTTGCTTCGTAGTTTTGTTTTAATCCAAAACAGAAACAACATTGTTGATTTGAATTGTGTTTAGTACCATTCGGAAGCATCTTTGGTAATTGTGAGATATAAATTTTGTAATTGGCAAGTTTTGATGTTAAAACCTCGATCAATTTGTAATTTTGTATTTACTTATGAGTCTCGATGTTGGAAGCGAAACAACAAGTGCACGCATACTTCGATTCGATGAGAATATCATTTAGAATAGGTATGTCAGTGAGGAACAATTGTGAGTATGTTTAAAGTTAGGCAGGAGAGCATAGGTTAGAAATAATACTCAACAAAGTCCAACCGATTGCACTTTATACTTGAACCAACTACATGTTTTTTGCATGAAATTTGCTCTCGGAAAAAGTCCAACCAGTTGCACTTGTAAATCTAACCGGTTGAACTTCCTGAGAGAAAACAGGACTCAATAAAAGTCCAACCGGTTGCACTCTGAAGTCCAACCGGTTGCATTTTTTCTAAATATGTGAAAAAATAGATTTTGGTAATTTTTTTATTTCCTATTTTTACCCAAACTTCTAGGTCTATCCTTGTACGATTTTAAAACCTCTTTTTACTTGTGCGATTACTCTCTAAAATCGTGTGGGAGATTTTAAACTCTCTTTCTATCTTAATTAATTAGTTTTTAAAAAAAAAATTATTTTTGCTATTGAGAGCTTTCTAAGAGTATTTTTGACATATATTCTTTGTTCTTTTTAGTTTACATGCTCATGTGGATTACAAAACTTGGTTTTGTTTCATTTCTTAAGTTTGTTGTCTCGAAAGATTATCTTGTACAAGAAAGCTCAAATTATCATTAAAACAAAAAAGTCTTAATTTTAAAATTTATTTTCAAATAAGTTCAAAATTAAACTTTTTCCAATTTTGCCCTTATTGCTTAAATTACCAATCTTAACTTTTCGATTTTAATACCACCTTTGAGTAAAGGAAACAAGGGGGGTTTATAATTATATATTTATATATCTATATCTATACTATTCTAAAAGTGTAGCTAATTTCTTAACATTCTTGAATTTTTTTTTTTCCACAAAAAAAGTCACATTAAAAGCACACAATCATCATTATTAATTAGCTAATCATAGTTAAGAATTTCAATCAATATACTATTTATAAAAGAGTATATATTTTTTTTCCTTTTCATATTCATAACGCATACTTAAGAATTTCAATCAATATACTATTTATAAATGTGTGTATATATATATATATATATATATTTGATTATTTCTAAACAAGTTTCACTCATTTGTTCATCAATTGTAATTTTTATTTTATAATTTCTTAACATTTTTGAATTTTTTTTTTTCACAAAAAAAGTCACATTAAAAGCGCACAATCATTATTAATTAGCTGATGGTTCATATCTATAACGCATACTTAAGAATTTCAATTAATATATCTATATCTATATACTATTCTAAAAGTGTAGCTAATTTCTTAACATTTTTGAAATTTTTTTTTTTCACAAAAAAAGTCACATTAAAAGCGCACAATCATTATTAATTAGCTGATGGTTCATATCTATAACGCATACTTAAGAATTTCAATTAATATATCTATATCTATATACTATTATAAAAGTGTAGCTAATTTCTTAACATTTTTGAATTTTTTTTTTCACAAAATAAGTCACATCAAAAGTGCACAATCATTATTAATTAGCTTATCATACTTAAGAATTTCAATCAATATACTATTTATAAAAGAATATATATTTTTTTCCTTTTGCATATTCATAACGCATACTTAAGAATTTCAATCAAAATCCTTTTTATAAAAGTGTGTATTTTTTTTATTTTATTATTTCTAAACAAGTTTCACTCATTTATTCATCAATTGTAATTTTTATTTTATAATTTCTTAACATTTTTTAATTTTTTTCACAAAAAAAGTCACATTAAAAACGCACAATCATGATGATTCAAATCTATAACGCATATTTAAGAATTTCAATCAATATACTATTTATAAAAGTGTATATATTTTTTTTCCCTTCATATTCATAACGCATACTTAAGAATTTCAATCAATATACTATTTATAAAAGTGTATATTTTTTTTGATTATTTCTAAACAAGTTTCACTCATTTGTTCATCAATTGTAATTTTTATTTTAATTATTAATATATAATAAATTTAATAAGTGTGCATTTATCTAGCATGAGTGGACGGTTACATTTTCTTATTTTTTATTTTTAATTATTTCTATACTATTCTAAAAGTGTAGCTAATTTCTTAATTTTTTGAATTTTTTTTTTTCACAAAAAAAGTCACATTAAAAGCGCACAATTATTATTAATTAGCTGATCATGCTTAAGAATTTTAATCAATATACAACTACCACTATTTAAAATAAAATAATAACAAAATTAATTTATTATTATCTATATCTATATCTATTCTAA